TCCTATGGTGGTTCATGAATGTCAGGAAAAATCGCGGGCCAAGCAAAGATCCTTTTGGAACCGCACGGGTAAAGTCCAAAGGACTAAAAAGTTAGTTTATAGTCTATCTACAATCACCACATGAGACCATACGTTTCTGAGAAAAAGTGCCGAACCTAAACACGAAATGAGTTAAAATGTTGATCTCTTTCAACACAACCCCTGTCCAGTTTGGTTTGGCCGAGGAGCTATCGAATGAACTTTTGGGAGAACAGCAGGTACGGCAGACACTGGATCATTAAGACATCTGCAAGATAATGAATTTAGGCCGGAAAAGCACACTTGGAATTCAGTAGTGTAATCTCCGAAAACCGGTAAGCACCAGAATCGCCATACTGATTGCTTAGGCTGTGACGTACAAACCTAAAGGAGAAATTGGACTAAATCTTCGGCCTAAATATTGGTTAAGATATGCTCATACATGCATCTGTATGTGATAGAAATCAAAAGTGGTGTATTTCATTGGTGATACTTAGTGTAGACAATTAAAACACTTATTTTCCGGGATAAACTTGAAGAGAGCGAGAGAGAGCACACAAAAAACAGACCTGGATTGAACGGTTGCATGCCAAGGCCGATTTCACTGCATCTCAACTGGTACAGTGTGATAGAAAACTACCTACCGTTTATACCATTGAACATCATCAAATTACACACGAATACAATACGGGGCCAAATCATCACCCTGTCAAGGTAGTGACATTTTGACTGAAAGCTTTTGTTTTATTTGTCGAGAACGATAACCCTGGCAGTTTCATCATAAGTTCCGTTGGACAATGGAGCAAAAGCTAGCCGTATACGACGTCCGTAAAAAGGTAGTCTACAGTCACCTTCCGTTCAAAAGTGACCATGTTAAACTGATTTTCTAAGATCGATTGAAAAATGTAGTAAGGCGCACTTGTAATGCTACCAACTCAATTATCCTATACACAACCACACGCATCCACACTCCACCCGCAAAAAATCCCGGCAAATGTCGGCCAGATCACACGTCATTGATCAGCATGAATGTGGACGTGGAGTATCTTATACTGGTAGAACATACACGGATCCAGATGCACATCCCATGCTGGGTTAGAAGCGGACTGATCGAGTCACATGATCGAAGGGTAATATCCATCACACAAGCATCACACACCACCAACATGCTCAATAACAATACACCAGTACCATACCCAAGGACAGCGAAGACAAACAACCTGTTTCATCTATCGCCCTACATCTGTTGATGACGAATCATGATCCGGACCGGACAAATAGATTTAAGATTGATAACACAAAATAGCAAACAAGCTCGTTATCGGTGATACATCAACTCGCTAAACACAGCTTAATTTATAATAGAGTAAAACAGAAACGCTTTTTAATAACATTTGGTCTTACCATAGTCATTGGCTAACAATCTGGTGACATAACCTCCGTTCGTAATCTACCACTCATTCACAACCACTCTCTATCCCTCAATTTCCACACACACACACACACACACACACACACACACACACACATATATATATATATATATATATATATATATACACTCACAAACATCAATTATCACAGGTCCATCACCTCTCCTTAAACTCCGATTTCCTTCACAGATACTTGTCTCCTCTCCCCACTTGTTTTAATCTGTTATAAACTGTGCTGTATTTAGCCAGTTTAGGTAGCACCGAAAACGAGCTTGTTTTTTATTTTGGGTGTTCATGACTAGTCAAACGGGAATAGTTTCATGATTTAAGATTATTTATGCGAACACCAACCCCCGGCTGCAGAATCGGTTGCAATCATAGAAAATGAAAACCTGTGTGTGTGTGTGTGTGTGTGTGTGTGTGTGTGTGTGTGTGTGTGTGAATCACACAGTCACTTCGTTGGCAGTAGCAAGGCCCTAGCGTGATTGTGTGTTTAACCTGATGTACTGTTCAACGATATCGAATGTGGTTTTCTGCTGTCGTATTGTGCCAGTCGAGATGCAGGGTAAGCGACCTTGGAATGCAATCGTGCAACCCGGCTTTATTGTTATACTTTCCCTCTCTTCAAATACTTTATTTGGCTAGGGATGGGACTGCCAATTTTCAAGGGATCTTGTTGTCCGACGATTCGATAAACAACCAGGTACCCCAACCGTGTAGTTTTCCAAATCTTTTCATGACTCGGGGGTCATTCACTCGGAGTGTGTGATTAACCAGGATCTGCACACAGAGTATTGCTCAGTCGTTTACGACATCCCGTGGAACAAACCGATCTGTGTGTTTCCACCCATTATTCATATGACTGACCACAACTGACTGCCAACAGAATCTCTATTCCGACCTCGAAGGCTTGTCATCCAGACGACGTATGTTGACGAATTCGACTCCCGTTCTTGCCACACGTCATACAGACGCAGCTGCTCAGACGTATTCGGTTGATTAATATGGCGTCTGAGGACAGATTTAGATTCATATACAACAATACAGTCCATGTAATTCACACCCGTTAGGGACTGGGGCCGATCGACCAGTGTGTGATCGGTCCGTATCATTTGCATAAACCCGGGAGTGATGCAGTGTGTCAACATTTCCTCCCATGGGGCTTTGATCAGTGAATCCTTGAACTGTTATTTTTTTCGCTCTCTCTCTCTATCTGTTCATTGCACTTGAAAAATCGAGAAAAAAAACTCGGGAGGCAGACCTTAATGATAATGATGAATGACATGAAACAGATGTGAAAACTGTGCTATGCAAATTTGATTTTGAGTTGTACATTCGAACGTCACCCAATTTATTGTCTTTCATTAACTAAATAGAATTTTGAATCCAATCACATCATCGTTGTGACAGAATCAGGGCGTCCTACATACAAGGTCCATGTCACGCATTGAACGATATGGGGATCTGATCCCGGATAAATATCTACTCGTCCTATCCGCTCCGCTAGAGCTGTTGTTGTTGTTATTTTAGGGTGTGTTCTGGGTTCCATGTCCACGACTGAGACGAAAACCGATGTACTCGTTCAGTTACGTTCGCGTGAAGCCAGGACAGCGGGTTTGGTGAAAACTGTACCGTTTGTTATTGATGATCTACTCGCACACGAGGTCGGGGCATGCGGATTTTGGCAATGGTCTTTGGTTTTCCTGGCCATGTTTAGCACAGCAGCCACGTCCAATTTCCCGAACTTTTTTGATACCCAACCCCGTCAACGATGTCATATGGGTGATTTGTGGGAAGCGGAATTTGCCGAGAACGGACTGGATTTTGATCGAATTCTGCAACTCACTGGCGGCCTATCATTCTCACAGGGTGAGCATAAATCAGAAACATTTATCGGTTGTCAGCGTTTTGAGGCCGACTGGGATTCGGGACCACTGACACCTTTGAATCAAACCAATTTGACTGTACTACCGGTACCTGGTCTGTCGAATCGCACGATTGCCTGTCCGCACGGATACGTGTACTCATTCGGTGCACATCAGTATCGGGGAGGAATTGTGGTCGAAATGGATTTGGTCTGTGATCGGCATTGGATGATTCCGGTGGGAACATCACTGTTCATGATCGGTATGGTTCTGGGTTATGTGCTTTGTGGAATTTGGGCCGGTCGATTTGGTCGGAAAAATGCTCTCTTATTTTTCTCCGTTCTGGAACTCGGCTCGACTTGGCTCTGTTCTTTGACACACAGTTTTTGGCTATTGAGTACACTCCGATTTTTTGTCGCTATCGGTTCGTATGCAAAACTCAGTGCGTTCAATTTGATCATTCTGGAAATCACTGTGGCCAGATATCGCAGTCTATTTAACGCACTGGTTATCTTGGGATTCAATTGTGTGGGCAGATTACTGTTGGTGGCAGTCGCTTACTCGTTCACCAATTGGCGAGCGCTAAATTTCGGGGCTTCTTTGCATTGTGCACTCACCTTCACCTATTTCTGTATTGTGCCAGAATCCCCACGTTGGTTGTTGGCTCAGGAACGGGCCCTGGATGCGATTCGTGTGCTGCAACGTGGACATAAGATTAATCATATGCACAAACCGGGCACAATGCCCTCGGAATTGTTGGAACGACTAGGCGAACAGGAACTTTTCGGATCGACAGTAANACAGTAATACATATAAGCCAAACGGAAGTGAACTCGGACAAGCATCGTGTGCTACATCCACCCGCGAAGTCGGTAAGGGAACAGTTTGCCACATTACTGTCTGACTGGAAGCTGATCCGAGTCACCGTACTGGCTGTGCTCATTTTCAATGCCTATTCATTTACATTTATGGGTTTGGTTCTGTACACACGTATGATTCGTCAATCGGTGTTCCTCGTCTCCCTACTCAATGCCCTGATAAGCCTACCTGGTACAGTTGTGGCTATTCTAAGCTATCGTCTGTTCCGGCGTCGACGAATGCCACTTGCTATGACCATGTTCGCTTGTGGAGCCATTCTTCTGGCCTGCGGTCTTTACGCGTACATCATACAACCCAAAGAGGACTGGATAATGACTATTGCACTGGAATTAGGCCTAATGTTGTACGCGGCCACACAGTGTCTGTTCTTTATCTACATTCCGGAACTGTATCCACCGGCTGTTCGCTCACAAGGATTCGGTTTGGCCTCGGGACTCGGTAGAGCCGGGTCCGCGGGTGCAACCTATGCAAACGAGCTGGACTACACAGTGCGGCATGCGGTACCCATGATTCTCTATGCTTCGGTCACCTTAGCGGCTGGGTTGGCTGTANTTGGCTGTACTGTGCTTGCCGGATACGACCGGGGAGGAACGTGATCAGAGTCGTTCGACCAGTCATTTGATCGATCCGAAGACAAACTCCACGGATAAGGGAAATTGTATGTGTGAATTGGTCGAAAACGCCGACTGATAAATTTCATTAAAGTGCAAGTACAATTTCATTCAGAAATTTTAATTCTTTATCTTTTGGATGTAGTTGACATTACCACAAACTACGTTTCTTATTACTCAGAACTCGTGTGTTAGGCACCCTGGACACTGATGTGCCAAAGACTGACGCAAATCAAGCTGTTGTGTACACCGATTTTTATAATAATTTTAAGTTTCTATCACGTTTCTTTTCACATGAGAAGCATATTAATCAAATTGATTATGTGCGTAACCGTTTTAACTCAGGAAACAAAAGAGATCCATATAATAGGAGCTGATTTCTGAAGCACCATAAGGCATCCACAATTATTATTTACGTTCATTTCTCAGTTCTCAAAAAATGATTATGATCTATTTAAAACCAAAATGTAAAAATTCAGAAACTTTATACAGTTTAATGATCAGAATATTAAACTCTCAATCCCGGTCTCTTTTGTTTTACTGAGAAGTCAGCTTCCATGAAAACGAAATGATGCAGATGAAACCTGACTATTTTCTGAAAGAAAAAAAAAAGATTCATATTGTCTACCGCATAAATCACCTTGGTTGAACAGTTTGAACCACGCAATGCCAAATCTGATATGGATCAAGGAATCGGAGTAGAAGTTACATGGATCTGGGGGAGGAGTGGTGTTTCAAAGCGAGACAGTCGGTAAAGCAGACGAGGAACAGATTACTGGGTTCCATCGAACGACTCCAGATCATCTGGGTTTGAAAAACTTTCGAAACAGTCGAGGTTATCACCATTCAACTTCAATCTGAATAGACTATGTATGCCTTCAATTGCTATTTATAAATATGTCTTAATATACAAAGAGCAAACTTATCAAAGTTCAAAGAAGAACTATTTGACATATAAATGTGGTAAATAAATACAAACTAACTGGTCCAAATGGTCATTTCCGAACTGGAGGTAAAGGCGTGCGTAAATGCCATCGAAATACAATGTTTTTCGTTGAGAAAAATAGTCGGTGAGCGAACAATTGTTTTCGGATATTCCTGGTCATGCTCTTACATATCGTATAGTGGAAAAATTCTTACATAACGATAGCCATTGGCTGAATTTCAGGTCATTAATCGGAGGCAGAGAGTAGATGATGTGTATATATATATGTGTGTGTGTGTGTGTGCGTGTACGAATGTTTAGCGTATTAGTTGATGTGACCTTTCGCCACTTGGGTCAAGTGACACGTCATGTTCTGTCTTGGTTTTTACACCAGGTCAAGGTCAATGTTTTTCATCCATGGTCTATGATATTTCGCACTGGTCAAACGCTGTTGCTCTTGCTCCTGCTCTTACTGCTGACCATACGATCGTCCAGCATGTCGTGTATCTATGCGAATCCAACCGTACTTGCCTAACTCCACCTTTTATTGCTATACCATAGGAATGCACTGATCAACCGCTTCCCTCTTTCTGAGAATTGTGTGCACACGCACGCACGCACACACACACACACACACACACGTCACATGTCACATATAACAGAATTAATGCACCAAGGTTGCGGAATTTTATGCTCTGAACAACTCATTGGTTTCTGTTTGACCCTTCAAGTTATAAACTCTTTGTGATCTCTATAAACTGTGAATGAATCGTTGAAATAACTGTTCTTTTTCCTTGACACTGTGTGTGTCTGTTATCAACTCGCGGTGACCGAATTCCGACGTTTGTCAATCCCACTTTGGTATTCGGATCTCCATCACCCATGAAATTTGAAACTCCCTCTCAGACTATTACTCATAACACCTGGTCAGATGTTATACCGTGTCGATGAAGCGTCCACTTGACAGCGCTCATCCCTTTCCTTACACGTTGACTTTTGTTCATATAAATCACATGTCACCTCCACATCCACCACAGCAAATCCGATCTTGCCCGCGTCTGAACCCAGACTGTGTGCCAAACAAATCATGGTACAACATTATTGATAAAATAGAAAAACGTTCCATGATTTGCATGTGGGCGGAATACTGCCAGCGTGCCCAGGCCAATGCAGATGAATTTTCTTGAGGAATCCATAACCAGAGCCTTTTGGTAGTCAAAGCCTGACCAACAAGGCAGCGGGGGTGATGTGAGATCCAAGGAGGGAGGGACAGTGTCCAGTTCATCAAGTCTTTCCCCCTTTTGGAGAGCATTAAACGTCTAAAGTTCTCCATACACCTCGACGCCCAATCGAGGCGGTGACCACTGCCACAACCAAAAAGGTGTGTGTTGTTCGTACGCCTCCTCTTGGTTCGTTTGGAATCAGGGTTTTGGCCAACTCCCCTAGGTGAACTACCAGTGGTCCACCAACCCCGTTATAGTCTCGGATGTTGGCTTTTCGTCCCATGACTTTGGTGGGAGAACACCTCCGTCCCACGAGAAGACAGTGAGTAAGGTTTCCTCAGAAGAGGCTATTGGAGAGGCTTGGTCGTACGGGAGCATTTGGCGAAGTGCAAGGGGAGGGTGACCAGTCTCATCCCCAGAAACCCACCCTCGATCTTACTCAAGCTTTTGGAGGCAATGCTGAGGTTACGTGCAGGCATTTACTTAGACACAATGACCCACTGGATTAAACGATCGATCTCCGCAAACTACGCTGCCTGAGATATGTGCTGAGAAATGGATTGTGACGGTGTGCAGATAGTGGGTGGAAACAGCTGAGGTTCGTCAAACGACTGTGCGAGGCTCGGATAACTCGGAATCAGTGTAGCCAATGGAGACATTGGAGACATTGAGTTATTTATGGATGAATGTTGAATTTAGCGGCACTGGTGCATGTACTCAGTTTTCTTTCTCTCTTGTTCTAATTTGAGGATTTATTTTCACCCGATTCACGCTCTTACCATATAAACTTTCCCTCCACTTCTTCATCCAAAGAGGGAACCGTGAAACAGCAAACAATACCGCCGCACGAAAGTGCACGGTTATTGGTTGAGTAAGCTTAAACTAACTTGAAACCGTTCGATGGAGCAATTGCACAACCTGTTATTGTCTCACCCACGTACTACCCAATAAAAAAATCAATACTCCATGCGTTTAAAGCTAACGATATTTTCACATTTCTAGTTATGGTATTTATCTTTTATTCTTACCCTCTGTCTCTCTCTTTCTCTACTCATGTTTCTTCTCGTTTGCGGTAGGAATCGTGGTTGCCTCTTTATCAAGCATGTACCGGGTTCAACGTAGAACCATTTATCATTTTGTTGAACCGTGCCTGAGACTGCACTTTTCAACCACTTGTCCAGCTTTTTTAAAAATTTCCTTGTTCTTTGTTATAAACATGTAATTCACTGTTTGGTTTGTCTGCCTAATTTGTTTGTGCAAGCCACACGAAGGCTTAGAGCCGATCTACCCAGTGAATCTATGATGAATCGAGTCAAACAGCGATTTTCACTTCACTTCACAAGCACTGATGATATCACCTCGGCTGGTGATGAAACGTTTGCAAACAAATTGCCAAGCTCGGCGAACAGGCGAAATGGAATTCAGTTCACTCGAGCTACGAAAACCGATTTTTAATATTTTGTCAACATTTTCAAATCTTTTATTTTCCAAATATGTGTACGAATTCATAAGCTGTAGTATTTCTCCTCCACTCCTCTTTGGTAATAGTCTAAATGCATATAAGGTTTACCTTAATCGTGCCACTTGGGGCGGGAAGGGTTATGTGGTGAAAACAATGTACCTGCACAGTCCCGTTTTTCGGGGTACCTGGCCATTGGTTATCATTTGGTTAAGCAAGTCAACTGTGTATTGTGTATAACATTTGCAAGCACCGGAGCTCACATTTCAGTTAAAGAAAAATCATACACGCTAACCGTCACAATGTACATAATCAACGGGGAGAAACGCTTTTTTACAGGCATGGGGACATTTCATAATCCGAGGTTAAGACGAAGTTCACCTATTGTCCGCTTTTTGTTTATGAGTACACAAGCACGATACGGTATGGTTGAATTGCGATATGCGTTAATTCGAGATGAAATTTGACGGAATTGGGAGCGTGTTCAATAATGGGAACGACAAAGTGTCAGTTTTGCGTGCAATGGGTGGTCAAGATCTATGAGAATTCTCTCAGCAAATTTCACACAGGAAGTTACCTGATACTATAAAATCTTTAAAGCTGACTCATTCATAGGAATAGAAGAGATACGACTAATAATGAAAGTCAGACCGCGGCATAAGACTTAGAAATCCTGTTAGAGTAAGCCAGGAGAAATGACTGGGGAGCAGTATAGTAAGATGGGAAAACACAATGATAAACAAAAGTAGAAATAACTGACTGGGATGCGCAAAACTGCCTGAGCTTTCGAATTCGAAATCATAGATGCTACAGTTTACCAATGTAGTTGTAGACGCGGGTTGATCAACGAATATTACTATCTATGGTTACACCAAGATATTTGACAGAGTTCACCCTGAATAAAGGATTGTTATTAATCACTGTGGGGTCTGTCAGATGTGAGGAGCGAGCAAAACTACATAACCACTCAACACATTCAATGGAGTTCAGAGTTAGTCCCAATGAGGAGGAGAATGACTAAAATTGATCAAGATTATCGGTTGAAGAACTTAGATCAGAGTAAGAAGAAATGGGTTGGCACAACACGACATCATCTGCATATTTCAGAATTGGTGCGGGAGAAACACAGGGAATATCACAAATATAAGTGGAAAATCAGTATGGAGATAGCACAGCTCCTTGAGGAACCCCGGAGTTGTTGACTAAGCGTTTCGATGTGGCCTTCCCCAATCTAGTCGTTTGTACCCTATGGGTAAAATAGTTGGATAGCCAAGCTAAACAACTGCTTGGGACATTCCAACGATTCCAGTTTTTGTAACAACTTATATCGAGGAATGGATTCAAATGCAGAAGAGTAGTCGAGAACAACACACCGAACAGACTTAACAGAGCTGTTCAACGATTGAGTGATGAAATGAATGAGGGTGGAGACTTTGTTCAAGGTGGATCTATCAGGCTTGCAAGCAAACTGTAACGGATCACTGCGAATGTGTTATGGACTGCTGAAGGTGTTTATGGATGGCTTTTTTAGTCAATTGAAGAGCTGAAGATGTTAATGCTATGGGACGAAGACGTTTGGAGAGGAAAGAAGATTTGGATGCTTTGGGGACTGGTATGATTGTGACCGGCCTCCAACAGTCGGGGATAGTAGAAGTGTGAAGAGATTCATTTACAATGAAGGTAATTGCCCCAGCTAAGGAAGCAGCACCAAATTGAAGGGGGCTGGATGTGAGTCATCCGGTCCTGCATCGGATGACGAATTGCAACTGTTTAAAATTTAACACATCACGATATGAGAATGGTTCCACGTTACAAACATTTTGTGACGAGTAAGCAGGAAGAATGTCCGATGACTGGCGCACGAATGCGGTATTTAGATCATCAGCATCCACATCCAGCTTCGACTGTTCTTTCTCCCGTCCACAGAGAAGTCTTATAGCTTGCCACAGGTGTTTGCTGTTTCCAGTCCTCAGAATTCGATCAGAGAATAATGCGTTCAATTTATTTACTTCAGCTTTGATAAGCCTGGACAAATACCTGACAGCTGATGCATTGTGAGATTTGTAAGCACGTTCGTTTTGTCGTCACAGCGAATTTAGTAGGGGTGAGTTTAACCTTCCGTTGGACACATGGAGACTTTGAACAGGACAGCAGTAATTAAAAATGGCATTGATTGTTTGGTGTATAGGGGAACACATGTGAGCAGAGAAGAAGATGATGAAAACCATCGGGAGGACTGTCTGAGAGATTCATTCAGGAGAGAAACACATGTAGGTGAGATGTTACGAAAACGAAATCTGATGTGGTCAGATTGGGAGAAAGATTTGTATGCACTGTTTGAATAAACTTTAGGTTGACCTAAGAGTAAGCAATGGTGACTGGAAGAAATAGGAACTTTTATTGCTAAAGAAAAAAAGGGTTGGGTGGTTGGTAATAACTCTGTCCTGTACAGCGTTACTTCTTGTGGGAGAGTGACACAGATCTGTCATACCCAATGAACAAAAGTGGATACCAACTGGTATGGATGTCAATTACCAAAGGGTACGGGTTCGCAGTATTTGACGTTGCTCTGACTACAACAAGAACTGCATTGCGTTAGCTGTGTTACAGTGTCTAGCACACTTGAACAGATAGATGACGTGTACTGGAAAAGAAACGTATTCCGATTGATTTCGATCAATTTTATCCTTACCTAGAACTATCAGGACAAGGATCGGAACTCGAAATCATGCTCCATCCAGAGTAATCTGATCTTTCTCTCTTACCCACAAAGAAAAAAATGTGAATTGACTTCGGAATCGATAACTTGTTCTCGTACGAAGTGATGAAAGTAAGTTGATGGAAATTATAATTTTGTTTTCAGCACTCTGTTGTATTAACTGGGGTGGGGTGGGGGAATAGTTTGATTGAGCAAAAAGAATCCACCTAACGAACACGGATCGACTGCGCATCACAGAGACAGAGAGAGAGAGAAAGGCTTGGGCAAGTCAACAATGAGTGTTGTTTACAATGAGCAAGAACAACTGATTTGGTCAACAGTAATGACCTCGAACTATACACGAGAAGATTTTCATCCAATTTGTGTCACATGAAATCGCGGAACTGGACGAAAAATGTCTATTGCTAACGGACTAACGAGCGGTAAAGAATTTGTATAAAAGCGTTAGAAGAATAAAAAAGCGGGGTGGTGGTGGTGGGGTAAAAATGCACATTTCCAGAGTTGGCAACTTAGAGATACGAAACTTGTCCATCCGCTTGTGGTGAGTCTTCGGACGCAACCTCCTCCTTGCCGGTGGTGTCATCCAAACAACATGTTGTTATCATACCCAAGATAGCTATACCCGCATAGAATATGATCGGAGTACCGTGTGCAACAGTGTAGTCTAGCTGATTGATATACGCGGACATGGCAGAACCGAGGCGTCCCGTTCCGGCGCTGGTACCGAATCCTTGCGATCAAACATCTGGTGGATAGAGTTCCGGAACATAGATAAACATCATACTTTGCGCGGTCGCCATTAACATGACAGACAGAACCAGGGTAATAGACAATGGTAAATCCCCTTCCGGTTGGACCAAATACGTGTACACACCACCGGCACAGAGCACAATACCGACCGCAATGAATACAACTAATAGTGGAAGGCGTCGATGCTTCATAATCCGGTAGGCGGTGCTCGCGATCGCCGCACCGGGAAGAGCTGCCGCAGCCAGAATTAGTGAGACCACATAGACCGGTTGACGAACCATTCGCATGTACAACATCAGTCCGATAAAGATGGATGAGAACAAAAAGAACAGTAGCATGGATAGCAAAGTGTTCTTGGTGCGCTTTTTCGAGGAGAACATTTTCCCGATGATGGCCACCACATCGTTTGGTTTCCGTTTTACAGTCGCCTGCTCCGTTGAACCTTCTGTATTGTCTGTAGCGGAGTCGGTGAGCAATTTGGCTTGTGTGTACTGTTCCCATAGTCGATTCAGCCGTTCCGATTCTTCACGCTTCGAGCGAAATCGCTGGTTGATCTTTCGACCACGTTTGAGCAAGTCCAGTGCATCCACCGGTCTATCTTGTGCGAGCAACCAACGTGGTGATTCCGGTATGAGCCAAAAATAGGCCAATGAAAAAACACATTGAATAGTCGCAGCCAGATTCAACCAACGCCAATTACGAAGCATATATGCGAACCAGGTGATTAGACCACGCGATACGCAGTTGAATCCGAGTAAATACAATGTATTCATGACACTGCGATATTTCGGCGTAGTCATTTCCAGTAGGATAATATTAAATGAACTCAGCTTGCCATGGCTACCGACTGAGACAAAAAAACGCAGGATGGTATACAACCAGAACGCGTGCGAAGCGGATGAGAGAGCAGAAGAGACCAGTTCCGTCAGAGAGAATGTTATGAGCGCATGTTTCAGGCCAAATCTCGCACCCCAAAATCCGCATACCAAATAACCGAACATCATACCGAGCATAAAAATCGATGTACCGATTGGTATATACCAAGACTGTTCACAAACCATGTGATACGTTTCGACCACACCACCATCGTACTGAAAAGGCATATAAGCGTACACATAACCATTCGAGCATGGGACTGTGCGATTGGACAGACCAGGCACAATGGCGGTCAGTAATTGGTTCGGATTAGTCAATACCGGGATGGTGAGATTGTCCCAGTCCCCAGTGAAACGCTGGCAACCAGCTGTGAGTGATTCCATATTTTCTCCGTGTGCCCAGCCACCAGTAACCAACCCAATTTGTTCAAAAGTGAAATTGTGCTGGACAAATGCCATCTCCCACCGCTCACCCATGTAACATCGTCGTAATGGAACACTATCGGCAAATACAGGAAAAGTGGCCGCGCCGGTTGTGGTGAACACGGCAATGAACACCAGAGACCATTGCCAGAAACCATTCGGTCCAACTTCTGTTTCCAGTAGTTCATCAATAACAATTGGATCCAATTTGATTTGTCTAGTGCAATTATCCACACTCGCCGGGACATTTTGATGGGCGTCCTGTTTCGACTTCATCCTAAAACCGAGATGGTCGGACAGATGATTAAGGTGTGTGCACTATAATCTTTTATACCCACTATAAATATATATATATGCAAATATATGGAAAGCATTCCGTCACAGGTGGTGCTCTCATCCACTACATAATTGCCCACCCTGAATTCACAATCGTTGTCAAGAATGTGTGCATTACACTTACGTGTTTTTGTGTGTATGTGTGTGTGACTTTGTGTTTCGTAAATATGAAGTGATTCCCTCGTATAAAATACATCTGTGATCAAACATGTTTTTTTTGGCTCACAATTACGCACACAAGTCAGTGGTGGAATTGGAATTCTAAAGAAATCGAGGAACTTCTTTCACTGAGTTTGGAAAACACTTGTTCCTATCTATCTGATTGCCGCGTGTGTGTATGTGTGTGTGTGTGTGTGTGTGTGTGCGTGTGTGTCTGTGCATGCTCGACAATCAACCAGTCGAGTCAGCCAGCTATTGTTTCGTGCCTCCCGGATGTGGTTAGCCAGTGTGACTTTTAGTCTGTTGTGCTCACCTCTCTTCCCCGTCGTCGTCAACGTCGGCATTCTGTTTCATTTAAATTGAACAAACTATCTATGACTGACGTTGCTCCGCATTCTCCATATTGGTTTGAAATCCATTGTAAGTCAAATGAATATTATTGAAATCATTATTTATTTGGTCGGGAAACGTAAAAAGGAATATGGTGAGTGAAACTGGGCTAATGTAACACAGCAGAATACGCGTGTAAGCTCAAACCTGAATGTGATACACTTTTGGATTCTATTAAGACCTTGAAAAGCAAGAATTCAAGGGTTGGTTGTTCTTCTCCAATATATAACATATTCAAATCCATGATGATCACTATTCATTCAAGATCGTCAGTACGAGGGGATGGGTTATCTTGGCTTCGTTTCACGATTGTCACCTACGGTCGGAAATGATACATCATGCTTCAAAGTTTTCCCAGCGATCTCCTCAATTCTAACAATACATGATGAATTATAAAGATAAATTAAATAAATAGTATGATGCTAAAGAAACAAGTGAAGGATTTTAGGTAATAATATCTAACATTATAGGAATAAGTATACAACTAAAATTCCCGATTGTATCTTACTATGGAGACTCAAATCTCCAAGACAATGCTATCCAGGAGGCTACGCGTTGGACAAAGAGACCACAATTGAAACCAAAAGGGTCCCCAAATTTTACACAGAAGTCGTGTGACCGAGAGGAAAAAAACGGCAATGGGTTAATACCTGTTTGACTGATGATTTTTCAATTTCCATATTATTTAATCCATTGACGTATTTTAACTAATGAACCGTTACTTGTGTGGCATCTCGGGGTTGGAAGGAAAATACGGGAATACGATTACCAGTACGATTCCGTGTTTCATCTGCGTGAAAGATTTATGATTGGCGACATAAGATTCTCGTCTATTCTGATCACTTTATTAGAATATATGCTTTCATCTACTTGTTACTGGCGTTGATATAGGTAACATATAACTCGCTTCATACGATTATTGGTGTATGCATTCAATATTTGCCTCATTCATGACTATGACTTTGAGAGCTATGCCAGTAATAAACCCTGATGATCGTACCTATACGTGTTGCATCATATTCACAAATAAAAATGTTTCCTAACAGATCATCTTGTTCTGTAATTTAATTTGCTGGAAAAGATTATCAGTTATTATGTTGTAGCAGGCTATAGTAAACTGTTCAAAAGCCACAGTCAAATCAATCGAATATTGCCCAGCGCGCTCCCAAGTAGTGCACGGCTACTCAAGTGGCTGAATGTGAATAGGTGATCACAGTTCTCTGAAGAAGCATTCAGGAACAAGCAATCAACAGTGAGACCAGTGGTGACATCTCTTCTCGCGAGCCGCCTCTTAACAAAAATACATATGTAGAGCATCACAATATGTGAGTGAATCTATCCCAGAACCGGAAAAAGCCCATCGGCATTCCCTTATAGTCTGTCCTTCACGTAACACTTTGATGGGCTCGCTTGGATGTTGATTTGTTTCATGCTTGCAAGGTTCTTCAACAATACACTCATAAATTTGGGCTTGCTTCAAAGTTATAGAAAGGGATATCGAGGCATGCAAGTAGTAGAATTATCAATATATTAGAACCAAGAGGTGTTACGAGTATGTATATAAAAAAACTCAATGCGCGACGTACTGTGTTTTATTGTGACAATGCGCTACCGACGTTGCTATGTTATTCACATTATTATAAAATTCACAATAAAACCCAACACATGATGCATCCATTTTTCGATACACTCCTAATATCTTTGGGTCCTGACATACTGAAAAGATCACCAATTTGATTACTCTGGAAAAAATCTTGCTAACTGGATCTATCATTGTGCATTCAATCACCGTTGTCTACGATATAATTCAATTCCCAAATCTCCTTTTGTAAGATTCCCCCCAGATAATTCTGCTCCATCCCCAAGGGCTGCTTTGACAGCTTTACGCACATTCCCACGACAAAGCATTCACGATTGTGCTGTAATCATCATACACCCACCATGTTTCCGAATTCGAAATCTGAATGATTACTGAAATGATTTGTTGCCAACCCCCATTGTCCATGATTATACAAAAATAATCAAACAAAGCACGGCACATGCTTTCGAATCATGCCAGTCACGATGGAAATGTAAGTTTTCAAAACTGACGAACAATAACCGAAACGAAACGAAAAAACGAATTCTCGACAACCACTTGTTCTGAATTCAGAAAATTTCATTCAAAATTTATCAACGCCCACGGAACCACGAATACTCCAGAGGGGTCTCAATTTCAACCTTCACAGAAAACCTGTGATGGTACAAGATGTTATCCCCACCGTGGAACTGACCTTATCTAAAATTCCAGAAAACAACACCCACCAAGCACGACTGGGGATATGTAATATTCTCGAGAACCAACAACCGATTGCACCAAACGTCACATCAGAAGAAAGAAAAACACTGGTAACCTTAAAACGAGATTCTTCAATTCACATCACACAAGCTGACAAGGGCAACGTCATGGTCATCTTAGATAAACCAGATTACGAAACAAAAATGAAAAAAAAGCTTGTGCAAACCAATACTTATCAAACTTGCAAGACAAATTCGGTAAACCATGGTGGTTTTCATTGGCATCAAAGACGAATAGACCGGCTAGATTTTACGGTCTACCAAAGATAAATAAACCGGGCATACCCAATCGTCCCATTGTAAACTACACACCGGGTGGAATTAGTAAAATATCTCAGTGATCTGTTAAAACAGTATCAAACTAAAGCGGTAAGTCCCATCAATGATGCATTTCAGTTTGTTCGTATTTTCAAAAATAATTGAACTTGAAAGTGACGGGGTTGCCGTCAGCTTTGATGTGGTTTCTCTGTACCCCAGTGTTCTCATAAAACGGGGGTATACATTTTCTAGATTCTTGGTGAGGTTTGATGTCACACTAGGAGAACGAACTTCTTTAACCCCAAGGAAGTTGTTACTGGCGTTGTAATTTGTCTAATATCAAAATTATTTACTTTCAAACATAATTTAATACAAACAAACCAATGGTGTTGTCGTGGGATTTCCCATCTCTCCCATTGTAGCCAAAATCTTTTTGCATTCAATTGAACCAAAGCCACTCTCCAATTTTCCTATATCACCAAGTTTATACGTAAGATGCGTAGATGATACGTTTGTTATCATTGTCAAAACACACGCAAGAGTTTCTTGACTGTCTGCACAAACAATGCGTCTCCATCAATTTTGCAATAAAGTTAGAGGATACGAAAACGGTCATCAGTTTTCTAGACTGTCACCTCTGGGTGAACGAGCCACGTAAATTTACCACTAATGTTCTCAGAAAACCCACACATTGAGATAAACTCCTATATTTTGAATCAGCTCATCCGCACTGTGTTAAACGGACTCATCTCCCCTCTGGATGACAGAGTCAAAAAGCTCTGTAATGGAGACAATAACCACCAAATTGAAATGAAATGCCTCATAAAAGTACTGGAGGGCAATACTCATCCGCCACTCTTGGACTAATGCCAGCTAGACATGAACAAACCAAAGACGCTACCTAAAGACAAAAAAGACCCAAATGGCTTTTATTGGCATTCCATATAGATCAGGCACTTCAGAATCAATCAGAAAGATTCTCAGTGATTTCAACATACATTATTCCGGGTTGACAGCACTCCGAAACGCCATCTCACGAAAGCCAAAAATCTGGCCGAATAGCAAGATCAGAACAACTGCACGTACAAAATCAGTTGTAAAGAATGCCCCGCAGAATACATTGGGTAGACCAGTAAACAACTTAAGACAAGAATAACTGAACATAAGAGAAAAGAAAAACACCAGCCGACGGATCAAGCAACTCTGGCAAAACCAGAAGGAGACTCAGCAACTGGTCTTCGTGCCATAACCGAAGGTCACATCATAAACTATGACAAACCGAAAATAGTCCAACTCGAATTTCGAATATGAACTAAACGCTCGTATGCCGAAGCTTCGGCAATTAAAAACCCACTCTGCATCTTGCCAACAGAGATGCCGAGCATTTCGACTACCTTAGCATCACTAAGTGGTAATCACGACAAAGGTCACGGTGCCACTTGACCCCATCTGATAGTGGGGGTTAGTATGACAGACAACGAATCACCAGCCGATCTTTGTTGTCATTGAATCTCAAAGATAAATTGCCTATTCTCACTTCCTCCATGTTGACTTATTCTTTTGTTTGCTCATGTTCGGCAAGCTACATAGGCAGGACGATCAAGCAGTTTTTTCAAAGAATCAAGGAACATAAACCGGCTTGGTTAAACACAGAAACCACAAAGATCGTTTCGAGTGCAATCACGGTGCACTTCGTAGATACCGAACATCAGATAACTGAGGATGCGTTCAGAATTATCTACAAGGTACCCCCAAACCCTTCCAAAACCATCCGACATCCCCAAAATTAATTGAGCCATTTGCACAAGGTGATGACCATCGGCCATGATCGGGGTTCAGGTCCTGACAGGGACACAAAGGTATGCACTGCTGACGAGTTCCAAACAGGACGAAATAGTTGTCCCGGTGCTCTTTGTTGGTTATCACAAATATTTTCAATTTTTTGTTTTGTTTTTTGTTTTCACCTCTTTCCTAACCACTCCTCACCAATCCCATGCCGTTCAATCAACGCATTTTCCTTTCCAAAATTATTTGTTGCACGTTTAGTCACTAAATGTATTTAATTGTATTGGCCAGGGGATAAAGTTGTCGAAAATGAGCTTGTTCTGTCAAGACAACGAATCATTCAGCCCACTACACGAATTCACACANCTTTCACCGTGAAACATTTGATTGTAAAACCTGCCTTTTGAAAGATTACCCATGGTAATCGAAACGTCGGCGAATGCAATTCTCTACGTACCTCACTATATTATTCAAATTATACCATTCACAAGCAGTAGGATTATTTGGTCTTTCAATCTGATTGGAACAAAATCAACAGCGGTTGATAAAATAAACCGTACTGTTGTCATAAACATACATATCTG